TTAAGGATGATGTTAGCTGTGGGCTTTTCCCAATGTTCATAGCAGCACTCTCAACAATAGCCAAATTATGGAAAGAGCCTAAATGTCCATCAACTGATGAATGGATAAAGAAATTGTGGTTTATATACACTATGGAATACTACGTGGCAATGAGAAAAAATGAAATATGGCCTTTTGTAGCAACGTGGATGGAACTGGAGAGTGTGATGCTAAGTGAAATAAGCCATACAGAGAAAGACAGATACCATATGGTTTCACTCTTATGTGGATCCTGAGAAACTTAACAGGAACCCATGGGGGAGGGGAAGGAAAAAAAAAAAAGAGGTTAGAATGGGAGAGAGCCAAAGCATAAGAGACTGTTGAGAACTGAGAGCAAACTGAGGGTTGATGGGGGGTGGGAGGGAGGAGAGGGTGGGTGATGGGTATTGAGGAGGGCACCTTTTGGGATGAGCACTGGGTGTTGTATGGAAACCAATTTGACAATAAATTTCATATATAAATAAAAAAAATAATAAAAAAAAATAAAGTTCCTTAATCAGACCTATCAAGTACCATAGTTGCAACAGTTGACAAATGAAGATACGTCTTGAAAATAAAGAATAATTATCTGCAAAAAAAAAAAAAAAAAAAAGAAATGCCTGCTTCTTCAGCTGTGAAAGTGAAAAGAGCCATTCACAAAACAACACTTAAATAGTGGCATCACTACTCCTTTGTGGAGAGGAGGCAGGGCGCGTGCCTGAACACCCTTCTGCAACGAGGGTTGGGGGGGTAAGGTGTGACCTTCCTCCCTTGCCAAACAGGGGGTGCAAGCATGACCTAACCCTTACCCTAATCCTCAGGGTAATCCAAACCCTAACCCTCATCATAAGAGATGCTGCTACTTCACCATGAAGGTGAAAAGACCCATTCATGAAACGTCAGATTTAATAGTGGCATCACTACTCCCTCACTGTCTCTTTCAATTGGTGAAATGGACCTTGCCGTGAAGAGGTGGGAACAGGACAAGACACTATGGAGCTTTAATTCACTGGCCTACAGAGACAACATCAATACAACCAATAGGGACAACACATCTCCCCATGGGCCAACAATTTAAGTTGGGGTGACCTCAGAGAATATCCCCTCCGAGGGATTTAGATGTACACTTACCAGTCAAAAGTACAACCTCACTTATTGATCCAAAATACATGACCAACACCTTAGGTTCAATACATGCACCCTGCTGGAGTTTCCTTTTGGGGGTGGGTGGTTGTTGTCTCCACATTCGGTGCAGGGTTATGAAACGGTGGTGGTGGGTATTTTCTCCTCTTCCATAAAGAGTTCCAAGGCAACCATTTGTGGGAGCCCAAGCGGTAGCTGGTCTGCTCCTGAATCCCTGTGTGCTTCGGGTTCCCTGTTGGGCGTCATAGCAGCGGTCTAGTGGAAACATGAGAGATGTCAGGAGACACTCAGGTAACCAAAGATGCGAATGAAGAACCTCCTGAAATACCATCAGAAGATTATGGGACACTGCTACCATCCACAGTTACAGTCCAGTTTCCGAGAGCATGTGGGATGCTCTAGAGGAATGCAGTGTTACAGTGGATGAGAGGTGTCCGGCTGGTAGAAGAAATGCTGCGCATCCCCGATGCTGGCTGGGGAAATGTCGTATATGTTGTCAGCTATGCCAAAGATAACAAAAGAACAATGAACGAGACGGACGCCTGCTTCTTCAGCAATGAAAGTGAAAAGAGCCATCCAGGAAATATCGGATTGAAAATGATTTTAGGTACATTAATTTTTGAAAGACACAAAGAACACAAGTGGGGCATGGGCAGAGAGAGAGAGAGAGACAGATAGTATCTGAAGCAGGCTCCAGATTCAGAGCCATTAGCACAGAAGCCACCCAGGGCTCAAAACCAGAAACCGAGAGACCATGAACCAAGACGAAGTGGGACGCTTAACCCAATGAGACACCCAGGTGCCAAAGAAAATATCTGAATTAAAAGGAATATCACTGCTACATCACAGAAAAGGGGAGCAGATAGGACACATTCGTGAAGCCCTCCCACACCAAGGGGGATTGCGACCATGACCTAAACCTTACACTGCCATCTAATACTAATGCTAACCATAAACCTTACCATATGAAATGCCTGCTTTTTCAGCTGTGAAAGTGAAAAGAGATATTCAAGATTTAATACTGGCATTAGTATCAGATTTAATACTGGCATCAGTAATCCCAATCTAAGGAGTGGTGAGGCTCATGGGTGATACCATCGCATGCTGAGGGTGTGGAGGGTCACATATGTGAAGACAACCCATGCACCAAAAAAGGAATGGGAGATATGTGAAACCCTACCATACCGAGGGGGGGTGGTGTGTGACGGTGTGAAACACTCCAGAGCAAAGCTGGAATAGGGCGAGGGGAGAACAACCTGCAGTGCAGAGAGACTGGGGTGATAGCATGAATACAATCCCTCAAAGATGGAGGGTGGTGTCCACACATGAACACCTTCCCTCTCAAAGTGGGGGTGCAAGCATGACCTACTCCTTGCCCAACTCCTAACCCTATCACTAAACGAAATCCCACCAACTAAAGCTAACACCTAACCATAACCATAACCCTAATGCTAAATCCTGCCCCTACCCTTGCCCTAACCCTACCCCTAACTCTAACTAACCATTAATGTAAACATAACCTGAACTAACCCTAACCTTAAACTTAACCGTCTAACACTAACCCTCTAACTCTAACCCTAAAACCCTAACCTTAATGCTCTAACTCTACCTGTTAACCATAAAATTATAAACCTAAGGCCCTCCCCCATGGGAATCCATATCAAAATACTGACAACAGCATGCACATGGGGACCAGAAACAGTTCATGAACACTCGGCATGGAACGTAGAAAACACCATGTATTTCCAAGTGTGGCTGCAGCTGCACAAGAGGATTCCTGAGGCCTAACCGATGGGTGACCCATACAGTTGTCTGGCCTTGGAACCCAAAGAATAATCCTGACCAGCACCCTCCCTTGTATACTCCACTCAGCCCTTTGGGAAGACAACTGCTCTGCTGTGGGTTCAGTGCCTGGAGCCTCCTGGGACCTAACCCTAATGCTAACCAGAACTGTACGCTAACCCTCAACCTCAACCTAACCCTATCTCTCACACTACACACACATATTACACCAGACCGGATACAGTTGTCTTTCCTTGGAACCAAAAGACTAATCCTGACCCACAGCCTCCATTGTGCACTCCACTCAGTCATTCCAGGAAGCAACTGCACTGTTGTGGATTCAGCGCTTGGAGCCTAGGGACCGATGTGAACCCTAACCATACCCCTAAACATAACCCTCAATCTAATCGTAACCCTGTTTCTAACCCTAACCCTACACTTGAGCCGCACCCTCGCATGGTATCTCAGGTCAGCCCTCAAGGGAAATCACGAGACTGGAGTTGTTTCGGCACTGGTGACTTCCCTGCACCAAACCCTAACCCTGGCTAAGACTCCATTCCCATGGGACGCAATTCAAAGTCTGACATCAGCACGCACATGGTGTCAAGAAGCAGTGCAGGAATAGTCGGTGTGGAATGTGGAACATCATCATGTCATTTCAAAAGCCCAGCTGCCACTGCACTCGAGGGTTCAACAGGTCTACCTGAAGAGTGCCCAAAACATTTATCTGGACTTGGAAACAAAAGACTAATCCGGACTGGCAGCCTCCATTGTGCACTCTGCTCAGCCCTTTGGTGAGACAAGTGCACTGCTGTGGGTACAGCACCTGGAGACTCCTGGGACCTAACTCTAAACCTAACTGTAACCCTAACTATAACCCTCAACCTAAACCTAACCCTATCTCTCACACTCACTCTATACCAGACAAGGGTTCTCACTTCAGCCCTCCATGAAATTCATGAGACTGGAGTCCCTTGACCTGGTGATGTCCTGGCACTGAATCCTAACCCTAGCTATGTCTCCTTCCTCATGGGGACCCAATTTCAATAACGGACAACAGCATGCACATGGTGTAGAGAAGCGGTGCAGGATTACTCGGCGTGGAACCTGGAACATCACCATGTCATTTCCAAAGCCCAGAGGGAGCTGCACAAGGGCGCTGCTGAGGCCCAACTAAGGAGTGTCCTACACCCGAGGATAGCCTTGACACCCTAAGACTAAGAAGGAATGGCACCATCCCTTGCGCCCTCCACTCAACCCTCTAGGAGACCTCTGCACTACTTAAGTTTCTGTACTTATGCACCTCCTGGAACCTACCCCTAACCCTCACCATGACCCTAGCCGTATTCCTCAACCTAAACCTCACCCCAACTCTAACACTAACCCTACCACTGAACTGCTACCACACACGGCCCTCACTCAGACTCAATGGAGATAAATGGAATGTTGTTGCTTCAGCTTTGTTTATGTCCCTGGATCAAACTGTAACCCTAGCTGTTTATCCAGATGGGGATCCAATTCCTAACTCAGAGAATATCACGCACATGGGGCCCAGAAGCGGTGCAGGATTACTCCACTTGGAACGTGGACCACCACCATGTCATGCCCAAATACCAGAGGGAGGTGCAAAAGTGCTTGCTGAGGCCCAAATGAAGAGTGGCCCACATGCAAGGCTGGCACTGGTAACCAAAGACTAAGCCTGACCAGCACCTTCCCATGCGCCCTCCACTGAGCCCTCCCGGAGACCACTGCACTGCATGGGGTTCATCACCTGAGGACTCCTTGGAGCTATCCCTCACCCTAATCATGACCCAAACCATACTCATCAATCGGAACCTCACCCCAAGTCTAACGCTAACAAGAGGCTGGTCTTGGCACTCAAAGTCTCAGCATGACCGGCACCCTCCCATGCGCCCTCCTCTGAAGTCCCCCAGGGAAACAACTGCACTGCCTTGGATTCAGCACCTTGGGCCTCCTGGAACCTAGCCCTAACCACAACCTTGACTCTCCCCATACTCCTCAACCTCTACCTCACCCCAACGCTAATGCTAACCCTACACCTGACCCTCACCCACTCATTGGGCCTCATACAGGCCCTCATGGAGATAATGGGACCGGTGTCTCTTCAGCCCTGCTTATGTCCCTGGACAGAACCTCACCCTATCCGTGGTTCTCTCCCAATGGGTACCCAGGCCCTAATTCTGAAACACCACACATATAGGACAAAACCCCTGTAGTATTATTTAGTATGGAATTGGAACATCATCATTTCGTTTCCACTGCCGGGATGGAGCTGCCCCAGGAGGTTACTGAGACCCAAATGAAGTGTGGCACACACAGAGGCTGGCCTTGAAACATAAAGAGTAAGTCTGAACTGAAGGTTCCCATGCAGCCACCACTCAGCCTTCCGTGGAGACCACTGTGATGCTAGGGGTTCACCGCCTGGAATTTCTTGGGCCCTAACCCTAACACTAACCGTGACCCTCACCTCAAATCATTCCAACACTAACTCTAACCCTACAACTGACCCTCACCTGCACACTGGCCATCATTATTCACCCCATAGAGGTAAGTGGAATGGGGTAGCTTCAGCCCTGCTTATGGCCCTTGTCTGAAACCCAACTCTATCTAAAGCTCTGTCCAGATGGTGACACGATTCTTAAGTCTAAGCATACCTCACACATGGGGTCCAGAAGAAGGGGCGGATTACTCGGCATGGAATATGGAATATCACCATGTAATATCCAATGCCTGGATGTTGTTTCAGAAGCAGTTCCTGAGGCTCAACCAAAGTGTGGCCCACAAAGGAGGCTCGCCCTGGGTCTCAAAGACTAAGCATGACCCACACATTCCCACGTGCTCACCAATGAGCCCTGTGGGAAGACCACTGCACTGCTGGTGCTTCAGCGCCTGGAGCCACTTGGGACAAAACCTAACCGTTATATTTACCGGAGCCATACACATCATCCCCAACCTCACCCCAACCCTAAAGGTAACCCTACACCTGACCTGCACCCCTGCATGGGTGCTCATTCAGCCCTCCATGTAGATAATGGGACTGGTGTCGCTTCGGCCCTGCTTATGTCCCTGGACCAAATCCTGACCCTAGCTATGGCTCTCCCCCAATGGGGATACAGTTCCTAACTCTGAGAATACCATGCACATAGGGCCCAAACCCCTGCAGTATTCTTCAAGATGGAATTGGAATATCAGCATTTCATTTGCACTGCTGGGAAGGAGCTGCACAAGAAGGTTGCTGAGGCCCAACTGAAGGGTATCACACATAGGATTCTGCCCTGGCACGCAAAGACTAAGTCTGAACTTTAGGCTGCCATGCAGCTTCCACTCAGCCCTCCGTGGAGACCACTGCACTGCTAGGAGTTTACCTCCTGGAACCTCCTGGGACCTAACCCTAACAGTAATGATGACCCTCACCATACCCCTCAACCTAAAGTTCACACCAACTCTAACCATAATCCTAAACCTTGCATGCATTAGTGCATGGGCCCTCACTTCAGCCTTCCTGGGTGATCGTGGGATTCCTATCCCTTCAGCCCTATCTATGTCCCTGGGCCAAACCCTAACACTAGCTAAGACTCTCTCCCGATGAGGACCAAATTCATAAGTCTGATATGACCACACACATGTGGGCCCAGAAACGGTGCAGTGTTACTTTCCATGGAAAGTGGAACATCACCAGGTAATTTCTAAAGTCCAGAGGGAGGTGCACAGGGGGTTGCTGAGGCCCAACTGAAGAGTGGCCCACACCTGAGGCTGGCCCTGCCAACCAAAGACTAAGTTGAACGGCACCCTCCCATGCACCCTCCACTCTGCCCTTCAGGGAGACCACTGCACAGCTAGGGGTTCAGCATCTGGGGAATCCTGGAACCTAACTCTAAACATAACCAGGATTCTCATTGTCCTCCTCAACCTCAACCTCATCCCAACACTAATGCTAACCCTACACCTGAACCGCACCCGCACATGGGCCCTCATTCAGCCCCCCATGGAG